CTTGCTGCCTAGAGAGCCTGAAAATTCACTGAGAAAAAGGCCCGGACCCCAGGGATGACGGACAATAGGCCATTCCTAGAGCAGGAACAGCCATTAGCCAACACATACGTGAAAACTGTTCAAGAACCTTAGAAATCAAAGAAGGATAAATTAAAAATTAAAAACAAAATTTCATCTGAGTATTTGGCAATATTGAAAAAGATTTAAGAAAACAGTGTGAGGTAAATAGTTTCAACTCTAAACAGTTAACATGTAATGACTTAAATGCTGTCAGCCTGTGTAGATGTGACATCAGTGTGTTAAGTAACAAAATTACAATTAGACCCTGGCTCACCGTCACCCCCTCTGTAAACACAGGGGCACTGAGGGGGGAACAAGACACTGAGACCTGAAAGGAGCTCAGAGAGGCCAGAGGTGCCTCGGAGGCCCCGCCCCCCAACCCAGCCTGACCCTCCGCTCAGGGACAGGCTTGTGCACCCAGCACCCCTATTCCAGGGCTCAGGGTCAGGGGGGGTTGGCCAAGACAGACCGACTCCCTCCTCCTACCTCCCCCTCCCTTCCGCCCCGCTGCTCCCCAAACCCTCCCCCGACTGGACAGGACTGGGCACCCTGGAAACACCCTACACAGGACAGGACCTCAGGGTCCCCACAGCCGCCCTCAGGAATGCTCCTCACAGCCCTGTGTGCGCCCCCCCTACACACACACACACACACATGCCACCCAGTCCCTCTTCCCCCACCCCGCGCTCACTTTTCCGCTCCACCAGGAATCCCTCAGACACCCAGTAGTTGTGTCTGCAGTATCTGTCCACCGCGGCCCGTGCCCGCTCCAGTTCATCCTTCTGGCTGTTCCAGTGCTCAGCGTCTGGCCGCCCCAGCTCGGTCACAGCGCGGTACTCCTCTACGTTGCTGTCGAAGTGCACATACTCCTGCCCGTTGTAGATCAATCTGACCAGGAACCGCACCCGCTCTGTCCCATTGGAGAAATGACACTCCTTTTTAACCTGCTCCAGAAAATGCGCTGCGGGGAGAGGAAGGACCTGTCATGCAGGTGAGAGACGATGGCGACGCCGCCCAGTGCTGGGCGCCCGGGCGGTGGGGACTCAGGACCTGGCACCCCCACTGTCAGCACCCGGGGCCCCTCCTCTGGGGCTGGGAGGCCGCAGGGCAGGGAGACCCCTGGGACCCTCAGCCCCTGGGCACCCACTGGGCTGCCCCGTGGGCTCCGGCTCCAGGCTAGGGAGGACTTGTGCCATCACCGCCTCTCCTAGACGCCCCCCCTCACACCCAGCCTCTCCCTTCCCCACACCCGCCTCCTCCTGTCCCCCCCTGGGCAGGGGACCTCGTGCCAGGCCCCAGCGGCCCCGGGACCAAGGAAGGAATCCAGGCATCGCCCTCCGTTCTGCAGCTTAGAATTCACCAAAGTGCCCATCACAGCCCAACCACAGGCGCATCCACACAGGAGGGAGATGGCAGGAAAGGGGCCCCTGGAGCAGGGACCACAGGGTCCAAGTCCCATCAGGGGCGGGGCCAGGGCCTCTGAGTGACAGGATGTGGGGGAAGGTCGCTGTATGTGGGGAGGGGGCACATCTCAGGTGAAGGCAATGCCACCTGCAAAGCCTGAGAGAACCCATGTGCCTCCTGGGAACCCAGAGAACCGGCTCTGAGCCCAGACAGTGGGGGGGAGGGGACAGGAGCCTGGAGGAGGCGGGTGCTGAGAGCCTGGGGTGAGTTAGGGGGGCTTCTGCTCCATGTAAGGGGAAGTACTGAGGAGTTTCCTGCATGTCCAACCCAGGAAGCACAGAGAACCAGAACACACCTGTGGTGAAAGCAGGTGGTAGATGGAAGCTCTGACACCATCGCTGGTGTGGAGAGAGTCCCTGCGGAAATGGGAGGCCCTGACTGAGGACAGGGGGCTCCCCACGATGCACGACTCATGGAGGAGAGACGGGAAGGTCAGCAGAGATGAGTGACCACAACTCATGACGTTTTGACAAATATTGCAAAAGGCAAAATAAACATCAACATTGTGAGCTTCAATTGATTGACTGGATACAACAAGAAAGTGCTGACTTTGTGTAACTGTCTAGGTTTTTTCTTAATAAACTGTGAAGAGCTGCATTGGAAGGTGCGTGTGTATACAGTGTGAGTCTAGAATTTTCAGAAACAGCCGGTGTTCAGCTGTGTTCTCACCCTCAGCACTATTGACGTTTGGGACCAGATGATTCTGTGAGGTTGGGGTGGGGTGTTGTGTACACAGTGGGCTGCACTCAGCATCCCCACCAGTTGTCAGAGAAACCCCCGTGTGACAGCAGACATGGCTCCAGAAATTGCCATAAGTTCCTGGTTTGGTGAAGAGCCCGGGGGGGAAAAGGGGGAACCGTCTGAAAAGCTGGGGGTGAAAAATCCACTGTTGATGCAGCAGCTGGGAATCGCAATAAAAATTTAGCCAATATTGTGTTTGTGGAAGGCGTGGTCTATATGGATTTATATTCATTAGGAATCTGGTTCCAGTGCAGACTATTTTCCCAGCAAAATAAACTTGTTCAGGACCAAGATCTACCTGTTTCTTTGCCTTGTTAACCAATCACCGAGTCATCATTTATCCCCCACATCGTCTTCTTTCATAATCTGCCGGCCATTGACCCACTGCTTGTCTACAGTAGCAGCTACAGCCATGGCCATTTGATGCCTGTTCAAAGTCCCAACTAATTCACTTTCTAACAGCCTCCTGCTCCCAGTAATACCAGGAGGCATCAGGTTACCAGCCTTGGCCAGATGTGGACTCTCATTTCTACAGGCAAGTCCCTCAGTAGGGGAGCAGCTGAGATGACCCCCTCACAGAGACAGATTACAAACAGGAGCAGGTCCCAGACTTTAGATGGAGACCTTCACGTAGAAGTGATGACAGAGGGGAGGGCACTCTGCTCAGACTCAGTGTATGTATCTTTTCACAAATTCTCCAGCACCTTCCTGACACATGAGAAGCTGAAAATAAACATGTGTGAGTTGCTGTTCACTGTAGCCTGTGTGGTCAGCACTATCAGGACAGGCTCATGGGCCCAACTGAAAGGCCGCCAGATAAAGCAAATAAAAATTCATAATTCCCAGCACATGTGGATTTCAGATAAATAATTGTTGTTTCTCTGACATTCAGCTTAAATAGAGCATCCACTCTTTCCTTTGGCAACACAAGCCCACCCGCTGATGGAATCTGAGGCGGAGGAGGGCACTTAAACTTCCTTGAGTTCCTCACGTGCCCACGACAGTCTGCACATAGTGCGAGCCCATAGGGAACTTTTCAAGTTTTAAAAGCAAAATAGATGTAAATTCCTCCTGTATATTGGAACTAGCAGTCCTTGCACCTGCTGCCTCCAACCCTGAGACACACGCTGGCACATGGGAACATCAGAAATCTCAGCAGCAAGTCAGACCCAGCCAAGCCCCTGTTCACAGTGGGGGTGGAAGCCCAAGCTCTAGAATGAGGAACCTAAATTAGAACATTAGCTGTCCCACTGGTTCAGGTTGTAACCCCCATGGGCCTTGTTCTTTATCTCTGAAATAGATTTACTGATACTGTATTCCTCACAGGATATTGTTAAGTGTGGAATTAAATAATGATTCTTTCTGATGCTGATCATATAAGCACTGAATAAGTACTTTGCTATTTTAATTCTTATAACTCTTAGGAATGGAAACTCACAAGATCTTTCTATTCCTTCACTTCCTAGATCACATAATGTCTCCATTACCATTTGGCAATTGTTTTAATTAATTTTATCACTAAATATCATTTTGAACACAAGGACAGAAATAGTGGTGTCTGTATAAGAACAGGACATATATACATGCACCTACTATGAAAGGACTATGCTGAGGTAGAAGAGAGGACTTTCTAGATACTGAGACCTAGACTATGTCACCTGGCTCTACAACTAACCATGTGACTCTGGGTAAGTTGCTTAAACTCTCTGAATCAGATTCCATGGGTGATTACATCTGTAATTGCTGCAGGTGAGACAGGATGGTTATGAGAGTCACACCCTCAAATGCAGGCCTGGTGCACAGTAACTGCCCATGTGACGCTGCTCCATGCCGCAGGGACCAGATTTGTCTTGTCGACGACTCCACCCTCACCCCCAGGTGGTGACTGTCTGCTCTGGTCACTAATAAACGGTGGCTGTGGAATTGGTGGCTTTCATAACCAGTCACCTCTGCCTTCAAGGTCACTCTAGTCATCTAGTGGCTGCTTGCTGATGACTGAGCATCTCTGGTTCTCGAATTTCCCAGCTTCCCTTCAGGCTCCTTTGTTCTTATGCTTTAGGTCCAACTGACTCCCTGAGCCCAGCGCACAGTCTCCCTGAGGTCGCTGCTCAGAGACACCTGTAATCATCCCTCAGGTCTTCAGCTCCCATCCTTTCTTCAAACGGTCCAATCAGGTTCCATCTCATACACTCCAGTGACTGCGAACTTCACAACCACCAAACCCAGTGCTCACTGCTCTGCAAGTTGTCACTTCCCTGCCTCCTAATGGTTCTCACCATAGCTGGCTACTCCCTCCTTGAAAAATTTACTTCCCCTAATTGCCCTGCATCACTTTCTCTCGGTTTTCCTCAACATACTGCACCCCTTCTCAGGCTCCTCTGCTGACTCACTGGCCCTTGGTCCTCTGGGCTCAACCCTTCTTGTTCTCTCTCTCTCTCTCTCTCTCTCTCTCTCTCTCTCTCTCTCTCCTCCTCGACTCC